TTGTCTTTTGCCGAAGCTCAGACTCTGGCACAGGATCGGGAACGTTGGAAGCATTGTCTGGCGCGTCTGCTTCCGCGACCCGAAAGGAGAAGCGGCGATGGAAGATGAAGATGAAGAAGATGCAGATAGACAACAGATCGTTCGTTATGTTTCCTCTCGAACTGCAGCGTTCCGTTCCTAGTCTCCGTGTGCTAATCCAAGCCATGAAAATTATCAACCAGAGATTACACATACTTTTACTATAGGATACATAAACATATCTTGTCCATTTTGGAAGATATGCATGCATTAAACACCTACTGTTAAAATCGAAAGAGAGATTGATAAGCCGTTCAGTATTAAACGTTGGATTTGTCAAGAACACGTGCTTTCGCCTTTTCTATTCAGGATTTCTTTGAAACAGTGTTCAGTCTTTCAAAGACAAGGCTCTCATCCTAGGAGGATTGCAAGTCCAAAATATTCGGCAAGGTACCTTGCTGACCTAGAGAATAGAGATATTTTCTTGGTTATTAGTACGAGGAGCACGCCATAACGCTATGAAAATTGGTGTCATCTACAACGTTGGAAATATAACGTTATGATGAACCTATCAGACTGACCTCTTAGTGGAAAAGAGTGGGGAAATCATAGAGAAAGCCCATCAATTTAAACATCTCGGTTTGCTAATCATTGATGACGCATCAAACAGCCAGAGAGTTAACTGGGCAGATCGGCTAATCATCGACTGCCTTTGGAAACCTGTTCAATATCTGGGTTTAGAAATAAGTAACTATTTCCATATCTGTCTGTACCGTGCCTATATCAGATCAGTGTTGCTGTACAGCATAGAGGCAGTTGTTCAAACGAAGGAGTAAGAACGCAGGTTGAACTGCGTAAAGGAGCTCTTTGGCTTCGGCACATAACCAGGGATAGCTGGCAAGATGAATTAAGGAAAGACTGTTGTCCTTCAGGTACAAGTGAATCAACAAACTTGGAGATTAAGAAAAGTAGGCTGGTCCTGTTTGAGAACAGATCATTAACTCCAACCCGCGAACCTTTCGTCGAGCTGGAGGCCAGCATGCAACCTGAAGGAACAAGGTAGTAGCGGATATTCATTCTGAGAGGAATATTTACTCTATTATGCAGCAACTGGTAAACTGCCTCATAATCAAAGTATGAAGCGGTGCGAATTTCGCGGACTTCACAAAGCAATCACGTTCTGATGTCTCAAACGGCTCAAGGTATATATCTCACTAACACATTTTACTGAGAAGGTTAGCCCAACCAACACTCCGGATCCTCAAGTTTACGTATGAAATAAGCCCTCCAAAAAATTAATGAAACAGTGTGGTTTGAAGGTCTGTCCAGGGAATACGGCGTGACGGTACAGTATCTAAGAGGTCTGCCTCGAACACCCGAGGTGCAGAGTTCCATTATATTGGAGAGCAATCTTTGTCTCATTCACAAATTCCCTTGAACAAGGAATTTAGCCCACAATGCTTCAGAACGGAATTGCTCAATCGGTGGAGCGTCGAACTCAGAAACAATAGGCCACGAGTTCAAACCTCAATCGACGGTCACTCGCCATTCTTCCTTGCGAGGTTAATAAGTGAGTCTCACTTCCTGGGAAGGAAATAAATTACACACTACGCTTTCCAAATTGCTGTAGACTTAACCTCGAAAAAAATAAGGCATTCGTGGCTGATTGCACAGAAACGGAGATCAGCACCGCACCATCAACATCATGAAAAGAAAGGCGCCAAAGAACGCAATCATTAAAGTGGACGAAGATGGACATTCAAGAGTTAACAAATTTTCCTCTTCTGGGAACGATCGGCTCAGTCTGATCGAAATACTGGTAGTCAAATAAGTGCAACATTTTAGACGGTTGGCCCTTAAACACTGAATCTGCACCGCCACTGGTACGTATAAAGTCACGATATTGCTTCAGATAAGAAACATTCTGAGATACACTGACGTACAACAGGCACAGATACCGAGGAAACACACTCTGCTTAACCAGCTGTTGCACTGTTTGGTACAACTTCATACAAACCACTTAGAATCACATTCTTTACCATTTCATTGCAGTTTTGCTGACTGTTTGTCATGTCAATGACCAGTACTATTTGCAAGGCAAATTAAAATCATAAAAATCTTAACTGATGCTGAATTCATAAATCTCATTTGAAGAAAAAGGCACAAAATAAACATTTTCTACTGCATATGAACTAAATTTCATATTCAGATACTTTTGTCCCTAGGAATCTGCTGGAACATGCTCCTCTATCCAAAAGCTTCCAAAATATAACACAGAAGGCGAATATCTCTGCGACAAAGAAAAAAATCTGAAGCTGAAACGAAATTTGACAAAAGAATCGATACCAATTTTACGTCTGTTTTAAACAATAAAAGAATAAATGTTGAAGGTTACCGAAAAACCACAATTTATGGGAATTGTAAAATTGCACTAAAACACTGCAGTGAAAGATACGTCAAAAGAACACAAAAAACAATTTTCAAATGAAGACAGCAATCGAAACAGCGAATAAACGTTAAATTACTTGGGGAAGGCAATCAAAGTAAACAAAGCTTTATTTCACTTAAATGTTTCCGGATCTCTTTCCAAAGAGTGAAACGCTTACAGCCTTCTTAAAAAGTTTCATTAAAAACGGAATCAAAAGCGATTTAGAAGACCACGATTTGAGTACTGTAATTGTGATGATTCGGTTCAAGTATATGCAGCAAACAATTAGCTCTATTTAAGTTTTCCTTAACGTTTGGTTCTTTTCCTTGTAGTCATGGAGCCTTCCTAAACTGCATGCCCCTTAACATTAATGATAGCTACTCGTACCAACATTTGGTGCCATAAAATATTACCATACCTAAACGTGCCGAATTAAACATATATACGAGATGCAGCTCTACTGATTAATCATTCAATTCTAATATAGTCAGCAACTGACCATTATTCGGCAGTCGCTTACCATTAAAGTTTTCATTTAATTTTTCACGTCAGTTATATCTCTGGCAACATATTCCACTTAAGAGATTTACAGAAATACAATTTAAAAAAATAAAAAGATCTAATTAAGAACCGGACACGCTTTCAATAGAAATTTTACATTAAATCAACGCAATCGTTATAAATTTAAGATTTCAGGAACAGTCTGAATATATATTTAAATTATTAAGTTAATCAATTTAGCATAAAATCAGGAAGTGTGCAATCACGGTGTTAGAGGGTCAGAAATCAGTCAGCATTTTATTTCAAGATCCATGTCGCTATGTTAATTATAAAATATTTAATTGGTAAAAGATTAACGTTTTGGAGGATTGATGATTGCTACCTTTGATTTTCCGTACGTAAAATCAATAAACTTTCAATTCTTACTCAACATCGCTCATTTCGATGCCCGTTGTTACATTTGCATATGTATATGTTTCATATATTCATGTAAATCATCTGATTATCATTCTATTATTTACTGCTAAACGGGCATGCATAGCTGTGACAGTGCCACTTAAACGAATGGAAATTATGCGTGTGAAATAAATCGTAGCCTTGATTTGTAAAACCTTGCTCCTAAGTCATCGTTATACTACATTTCAGGACATCTTGTGTAGTAATTAAATTTTAGAACATCTTTTATCCCCAATCTGACAACGCCTTTGTGAGGCCTACAATATCCTTGAGACGATATATGGGTTGCCTTAAAACTACAATTTCAGAGGGTGAATTTTGAGAAGTAAATTTAACGAGCCGCTCTAGGGTATTTGAAAGTGTAATTATACAATCGTAGTTAATTTTTAATGTCGAAAAAATGCACAATGTGATTCTATTCTAAAACTAACTTTTAAACCCAGAAATTCCACCAGTAGGTTGTTCACCAATTACTGCACTGTATATGACTGAAAGACTGCAGTAAACAACGGACATCTTCAGTTCATTGTTTGTCTTTCAGGTAACCATGCGGGCAAGATATCACCGGGTTGCATAATGCCGGTACCGTTAATAGCCTAAGGTTCCCTTCCGCAATGCATAAATTTGAGTAGCATCAATCGTGCAATTTCAAGCACAACTGAAGCGTAAAGTAGCAGATGGCAACTCGCTAGCGGCGGCAGAAATTAAGAAAAGTGAATATAACACGAAATATTTTTGGCAACCATCTAATTCAGTTTTTTTTCTGTCGCTTTTCCTTATTGATATGTCGCAGTGCAGACTTGAGACAAATTGATCGACCTGCAATAACCATTCAAACTTAGTTCAAAATCAATCATCAAAGTTCACATTCATTTTAGCAGTTCGGCAAAGGGGCAAAAGCATGAGAAAGCAAAAATATTTTACGACAAATGCTTTTTAAATTGTACTCCATTTTTAGATCATCATTCAAGTTATGTATACTATTGACACGGGACTTTACCAGTTGCTACACAGGAAATGCACAAGTCATTAACGCATCACAATTAACAATGATAGAATGAAGAATGCTTAATGAAATAGCCAGATATCACAATTGAATTCAATTAAAAAACACTTTGCAGCAGATGATCCAGTCACAGACTAAAAGTTTTCCAGTTCTTGCGAGTTGTGATCTTTCTGTAAAAGCCCGACTTTAATTTCTAGTTCTAAGCAGCAGTCAATGTATACAATGATGAAGAATCCATTCAGTTACAGCGAACTACACATCCTCGTTCTTCTTCTCCTTCTTCTTCTGCCCAGACAAATCGGACGTAGATGCATCTGACCAATCAGATTTATAACTCGAAGCGAAGGTGTATAGCACAGAGGTCGACGTATCCTCCGAAACTGGTGGTGAAGAGCCAGAGAGGTGGAAGCTGCCTGCTGGCGAACAAGCCTTTTCACACTCTTTACCATGAGCTTCTTCTCTCTCCTGGTTGTATGCTACATCCATAATGTGCTTCTTCCATTTAACGGCCGTCCTCCAAACCTTTTTTGCATCAACCGCATCATTTGGCGCCTTGCAGTAAAAAATACCAATTCTATCGTGTATATTTCGTTTGGGATTAAAATAAAACGGTAGGCACTTGATCCGCAGTTTCTTGGACTCACCCGGCTGAATAATCGAATGAACCACATCCACCATAAATAGCTGCTTATTCGTAGTCTTCACTTTTATCGCGATCGGTACTTTGCCGTCATTCGTTAACATATGCTTACTTGTTTGGCGATGGTCGAACGGAGCAAAGAGTTGGAGAAAGGCTGGTTGCACTTTCATACTCATGTTTTTGCTCATGCTGATTTCTACGTCCGTTCTCATTGCAGAAAAAATGGAGGACCTTTTTTTGTAATATAATGTGTACAATATGTAGCACTACTTCGCCCACAGCTGCAAAGCAGTTTAAACTACAATGTTTGTAAAATGATTTCACATGAGAAATTTACAGCAAAAATGATGTAATATTAAGTGCAATGTTCAGAATCGTGATGACAACGTACAACTTTTGGAAGTGTTTGTGACTCATTTGCACCGTCTGATTAGTCAGTTTCGATGACCGTTTATCCTATCGGGTCGTGGAGGTAGAGGTGTCTCACAGCATCTCCAACGTTCTTGATCCTGTGCCAGTGTTTGAGCTATGTCAGAATACAACCGCAGCCTAAAGCAGACTTTTTCGATACACATAATCCTGGATATTTTAGCCGTCCATGGGATCTTCCTCCGGTCGATTAAACAAGTAGTAGTTGCGCCTTCCGTTCTGGAGGCATTCGCAATACATGGCCAAACCATCGCTATTGCGACACATTAATCAGCAGAAGTAGCGGCTTCATACGATGACTCTCCCACATATCTGAGTTACGGACTATTTCAAGGGAAGTGAGTCCTGCGATTCGTGTCCAAAAGTTGATTTCAACTGATTGTACCGTAATCGAAGTTTTCAATCATGGCCCACTATTCATGACTATAGGAGAGCATCGAGACGAAGATCTTCTTGAACACAGACAAATTAGTCTGCAGACTCAGTCGCGCCTTAGCCACAATGGTTTGGACAAGTTCACTCAGAACGCTGATGAACATTCCATTTCGGTGGTCGATCTCTTACTCCCGTTTTCCGTCACCGATGTACGTGAATTTGCGCTCTCCAAACTATTTAAATTCGTATTCGCTAGCGA